TCAGCCACTTTGGGCTACAGCAAGTTCTGGGCTATTTTTTGAGTTGCGCAGGAAACTGGTGTAGCGAAAGCTTTCTTTTGCGCTGTTGAAGAGTGAACTTGTATTTGGCTGCTGTTGATGGGCTAGTTTGTCCCACTGGGGAGAACTTCTTTGAGGAATCTAGCCGAAGGAATTTGCTCCCGAGCCGAAGTTTCACTCTTCGTAGCCAGCCATCGCCTGCAGCCTCGCTGGCCCACCAGAAGGTGAGAATCTGGCCCACCACGTTTTATAGAGGAGATGAGCGTTGGTCGAGCCGGCACTGGTCCTCCTGTCAAGCCTTTTTCTGACTCGTTTTCCGGCCGAACATTCAACCAGTATAGGGGACATCTGCACTTCTTCTGACAGGATTGCCACGCCGTTAGAGGTTAACCTTGGAATTCTACCATCCCCAAACACGAATATTTGATCAATTGACCCCTGAAATCAACCACCCAACTGAGCGGGAGTGAGAGCGTCAGTCTCTTCTACACGTGGACCGTCGCTCCTTTTGGTCGATTTGTGGCGTCTGGCTGTCTGGCCATGCTCGTCGCTCCGGAAACGCCCGGAAGACGAGAAACGTCAGAAACGCCCTTCGCCGGCGGAAACGAGTCTTCGAAGGCCTGGCCCGAAAGGTCTGACGGTCACAGACGCAGACGAAGCATCAAAAGACTACGTCGGTGAGCAAGACGGGGTGAGGCCATCCATGGAATCCAGTGGTTCGGTACGACTGGACCCGACTGGCTGGCACCTACATCACCGTCGGCCATTTCTGCGAATGACCAAGTGGTCAAGGAACTCATCTTCGGCTCTGATGGGCTGTTCTGATGGGGCTGAAGGGGTTGTTTGGCAATGGGGGAATATGGGGACCTCAAGGATTAACTGGTCCTACGTTTAATGTAACACTCTTGATGAATAACCTCACGTCATTTGGATTGAAAAACCTTTTCATATGGGTGGGTTTATTAGTCAAGAGTCTACATATGTCTGCATTACTCTTCCAGGCGGAGTTTGTTTTTGAGAGGTCAGGACCCTGTTTCAAGATTCTCCCCGTTGAATCCACAGGGAGATGTCATTGTTTACAGTTCTGCTTGGTTGTTCTGCTTTCAGCTGAGAGTTTTTGGGGTACACTAAGAAAAAACACCATCCATTTGTAGTGACTTACATGAAGGTCATAACTGGGGTTTGTATGTGTATATAAGTAAGATTGAACTTGGTTTTGTTCCATTACCTGTACATGGCGGTTGGTCAACAAGAACATCGCTAATTTAGAGGAAGCTTTTTACTAACCATCATCCCCTATGGATCCACATACCGCACCTGAGGTACGGTGAGGACGGAGACTATTTATGTAGACGCCTGGAGGGTCCAGTCTGACCGTACCTGAGGTTCGGTACGACTGGATCCCTATAGGGATCATCCACTGCTGGTCATTTCTGAATCCCCAGGATCCACTACTATTCCAGTCCGATGATTTCCCTGGGGCGAGTCCCGGCCTTTCCGCCCTGCGTCACGGTCCGGGCTCATCCGGGATTTGGGTTTCAACGAGCTTGCAGAAACTTGCTCTCTGGGCGGAGCCCACTTTGATACATCTAGATCAGAGCATCAAGTTACAGCGGACAAATTCTAGATTTGACAACCCTTGCAAGGTTTTTGACACTCTCTAGATCTGATAGTTTTCACTCTCAAGTCCGACCAATCGTGGAATTCCCCATTTAACGGGCTCGGGTCGCTACCGTGGATGGGCTGACCCGAACGACCAACGACGGCTGCAGGAAGCCCTGTGGCTTCAGTCGGCGCTAGACACAACCAATGGAAAGAGAGAATGGATGGCGCTGGCCTCCCCACCCCCCACTGATCAGAGACGGCCCTGACCGGATCCAACGTCGTTCCGTAAACGAAGCAGTCAGTCCTGTCAGAAAACCCAGAACTGGCCGTGGTACTTGGCGAGTGCCCTGGAAATGGCCAGCGGTGGAGGTGTTTTTTTGCCCAAGCGCAACTAGCCGCCGCGCAGCTTTAGGATGCAGTTACGGCGAGTTCCATTATTCTTCCAAACAAACATGCAAGGGATGTTCCAGTACCATTGTGGATGGATGTGAGGGCAAACTTTAAAGAGATTCCATCACACTCCTATGCACAGAGTCACAGAGAGAGAGAGAGAGAGAGAAAAAAAACAAAAAGAACTTCAGGATCACTTAAGATGGACATAGTCTTTTAAGTCTGCCTTCCTTCCGTCAACCAGCGCAGAACTGCTTTGGTGATTGGCCAAAACCTGTTGGCTTGAACTAAACCTTTCTTGTGTAAAGAGAAGGTTCCAACGACAGCGCTGACTCCAACGACAGCGATGGACCGCTGGGACGAGACCGGGCAACAGCGGACCGTTGGGACATTGACTCCATGGGCCGCCAGTCGCCAGCAAGGCTCAGTGACGGAGGAATCCGTGCTCTGGAAGAGTGCGGTCTAAGACACCTGGAAAGACAAATCGTCGCGCTTGTTTGAAGGGAACAGGCCACGTCGCCTACCCTCAATGATCATCAATGATGCATCTTGTGCATCGCAGAATTCTGGCAAGTTCCAAGTTTAAAATGATCCCAAACTTTAAACAAGGCTAGGTTTTCCAGTAGGTTTTCCTGTATACGGATCCAGTTGTCAGTTGTGACTGCACATTAACTTACTTACAGGACTTATAGGGTGTAACAGGGTGCAACACGAAGCTGTGGAGACGGTTTCATCTCCGAAGATGAGACGAGATCAACAACTGAACAGGCGTAGTCTCGGCCCTCGGCGTAGTTTGGAGATGTTTGGGTGCTTTTTGAGTGAGGAGAGCGCCATGTTCCGTTTGATCGTCCGAGTGAGGCTAGATGTCCATTTTGCTAGCAGTGCACGTGGGGAATCCTTTTTGATGTGTTCCACCCAACCAAATGGGCTCAATGCCTGCTTCTGGATGTCTAGCTATGAATAGGAGACCGGTGAATTGATTGCCAGGCTCCAGTGTTTTGACCTCGGACAACCAAAACTCATGTCCTGGAAACATGTGAGCCATGGTCAAAACTAGAGGTTATCAAACATTACTAGGGGATGGTCATCCATTGGATAATGGGGATTTATAATGACCATTATAAGGGATGGGATGACCATACCAAATATACGGAGTTTTGACCATAGCTCATATGGTAGAAGATTGTTCCTACTAGTAATGCCAGGAGCTACTAATAGCGTTCTTGCTCCACCACTGATTATGATTCAATGATTCGATTGTTTTTGTTTGCACCGGACAAAGTGTGCAATCCTCAGCGAAGGAAACCTCGATGTGTTGTTGGAAGATGGTGCTCTCTTGCGAAATGTGGCCGACTACAGTATGGGCATATCATATTGCGCAAATGCTAAATTATGGCAGCAGGCTCTAAAGCTTTTTGAGGCCATACACGAGGTTGACGTTCAGATGGACGTGGTTTGCTACAATGCCGCCATGAGTGCCTGCCAGAAACGCCGCCAGTGGCAAGAAGCATTGAACTTGTTTGATGCCATGCTCATGGCCAACATTCAGCCGACGGTGATTAGCTACAATGCGGCCATCAGCGCCTGTGAAAAAGGCGGACATTGGCGGCAAGCACTGAATTTCTTTAAGGTCATGTCCAAGGCCAACATTCAGCCTACTGTCATCAGCTACAATGCAGCCATCAGTGCCTGTGAAAAGGGCAGTGAATGGCCAAAAGCATGCAAGTTGCTGGAGGCTTTGCACTTGTCTAGAGGACAACCTGATGTGATTAGCTACAATGCAACGATCAGTGCTCATGGGAAGGGGAGTCAATGTACGCGGGCACTAAAGTTGTTGGAGAGAATGCGGAAGGAAACAGTACAGCAAAACGTAATTAGCTATAATGCTGCCATCAGTGCCTGTGAGAAGGGCGGGCAGTGGCAGCAAGCATTGGTGCTGCTAGAAGCAATGTGCAACGCCAACATTCAGCCATCAATTATGAGCTACAATGCAGCCATCAGTTCCTGTGAGAAGTGCGGGCAATGGAGACAAGCATTGATACTGTTTCAGCTATTCTCGCTGGCAAAACTGCAGCCCACTGTCGTCAGCTACAGTGCTGTCATCAGTGCTGTTGAGAAGGGCTGGCAATGGCAGCATGCACTGAAGTTGCTGCAAGCCCTGCCGATGGCCAAAATTGAACCGGATGTGATTATCTACAGCGCAGCCATCAGTGCCTGTGAAAAGTGTGGACAATGGCAGCAAGCTTTAAATGTGTTTGAGTCTTTTCCCAAGACGAAACTCCTGCCTAATGTCATCAGCTTCAGTGCAGCCATCAGTGCCTGTGAAAAGGCCGGGCAATGGCAACGAGCATTGACGTTGTTCGAGGCTTTGGTTGACTCTCAGCTTCATCCTGAAGTCATCAGTTTCAATGCGGCTATTAGTGCCTGTGAGACGGGCGGTTGTGAAACGATGGCGTTGAGGTTATTTGAAGCAATGCCCAAAGCAGAACTCCAGCCTTCCGTCATCAGCTACAGTGCGGCCATAAGCGCGTGTGAGAAGAATGGACAATGGTGGCAAGCATTGAAATTGTTCAACGCAATGCCTTCAGCTGCAGTTGAGCCAAATGACATCAGCTACACTGCTGCCATCAGCGCTTGTGAGAAGGGCGCACAATGGCAGCCAGCATTGAGGTTGTTTCAAAGCATGCTGTATACTACAGTTCAGCCAAATATCATTATCTATAGTGCGGCCATTAATGCCTGCGAACAGGCTGGACAATTGCAGCAAGCCTCACAGCTGTTGGCAGCTGTTGCGCAATGCGAGAGTTGGGGAATCGCCGACCGGTCAACCTGCCGCCCGACCGGTCCACCATGTGCCGTCTTCACGTGCCCTGGCTATGAATGACCACCAACAGCAGGTAGCCAAGCCAGACGTTCGGTCCGCCGTTTGGTCAACCGTTCGGTCAACGGGTCGCCCTTCGGGTCCCGCGATGAGCGGACCGTTCGCCATGGAGCCGGTCGACGGGCGACGGGGGCAGCTGGCGTATACGACCTTTGCATGGCGACGGGCGACTGTCTCAGTGAGTTTGAGGTTCTGTCTTACTGCAGAGCTGTTCAACTGGTTCGATTACGAGCTATTTGACTTATATGGTTGATTCATCTGGGAGTTGCAGTTCTACAAAGCAGCTCCTGAGGTACACTGCCGCCTCACCTGCTTCGCTCATATGTTGCATGTTCAACATGACTGGAAGTGGTGAATCTGAATGGAGTTCCGCCCCAGCAACCACTGAACCACAAGACGTCGCAAGCCCTTCCGATGTGAAAAGACCGTCACTTTCTTCGTCGCGAACGGCGGCAGCATTTCCGCTCCACATGTGGCGCAGCAGCACATGGTCCGATGGCTTCGTGTATCGATGGTGCATCAACCCTGATCGACGCATTTCTTCGAAAGACCGGCACAGAGCCGGGGGAGTCTTCTTCATCTGGTCGACACCGCTGAGCTGGAGCAGACCATGTGCTGGTTGGACACCCGCCCGCCGCGGCGCTGAGAACTCTGGGACGAAGCTGGAGAAGCTACTGGCGCCGAGCCGAAATCGGCGCCAAGCCTCGGGGTGCCATTCGTGATCGTCCTGCGGCTCCACAGGGCTCCATTGGATGCGTTGATGGGTCTTTGAGAAAAAATTGACACTCCCTGCAATCATCATGTGGTTATACAATTTGTGTGGATGGCATGGCCCTGGTCAGAAACGGATGACCATGTTCACTCCGATTCGGAAGTTTGTGCTAGCCGCTAGCCTTCAGAAGTCACCATGATTAGACTCAGGGAGTGTATACCCTATGGATCCACATACCTTCTGAGGTACGGTGCTTGGAGACTATTTATGTAGGCGCCAGGAGGGTCCAATTACCGTACCTGAGGTTCGGTATGTGGATCCACAGGGATACTGCAGTATATACATCTGACTGGTTCAGTTTTGGCCACCCGTGATCGCTCCGGGCTTCGGTCTTTGCTCGTTTTCTCGCTTTTCTTTCGCTCGCGCGAAAGGGGGGGTCGGGAGAGGTTCGGTTCGTGGGTCGTGGTTGGTCACACGTGTGGGGAGAGGTTTGAAGATGGGCCTACCTCATCAAGATGGGCCTACCTGCAACATGTTTTTCGGGACTAGTTTCAAATGAGGTGGGATATAAGCCCTAAGGATCCAAGTACCTTCTCGGAAGGTGTTTGGGGTGGCTGTGGAGGGTCCAAGTGCCTTCTGAGAAGGTACTTGGATCCCTAGGGAAGTTATGACAGTGATCGACCTTGATGTTTTGTTCCCAATCTGAGGTGCCAACCAAACCCATTCCGTTGGATCCGAAAAAACCATGGGAAACAGGTGGAGGCTCGGTTCGTCAAGCCCTTGGCCCACGTCCACCTCATCCACCGAATCGGGGTCCCCAGCCATTCGAAGATTGCGCCGATTGGTTCCATGTGAATCCTCCTGTCCTGTGTAGTTTGCACACCTGTACCAGGCAAAGAGGTCACCAGTGACCGCCTTCCACCTGTCCACCTGTCGGCCACCATGGGTGTCTATGTTTGTGAAAACCACCGGAAAAAAATTGGACATGTGTGCCATCTACTCTGAAACCACTGTAATATGATGCAACAACGAACAAGCCCTCACTTTGGACCATGGCCCCCCTTTTGGACGATTTCTGGACTCAGAGGTGTACAAACCCACAGAGGCGGCGCATGGCCTGTCTGGTCAGTGGGATGCCCAGCGTGGTTGTCGCGACGTGGCCAGAGGGCTACAGCAGCAGAGAAAGCCAGGCAGAATGTACCAATGACCCAATGCAGACTCGTGATTAATCACACACCCCCCAATAGGAAGAGGTGGGTTTCTGAATCACGAGTCTACATTGTGGCTCGACTTGATCCAGCAAGAATAAAACGTGCCAGAACTGCCGACGCATGTGGCGGAGGTCTCCCTATTTTTGATACACACCCACATGCAACCTTCAATCACTTTCCACTCCCTCCGTGGAAAACGACCTGTTTGCAGGGGAAAGCAGTCTTCCTTTCGGGGCCATGTCCCACTTCCATGTTTGTTGGTTGGAGGGTATTCTATACATGGAGTATCAGGGAAAATCCTTTGGATTGGCACCGACTGACGGTCTTCTCTTTCTTGTTCCCCAAACAGTGTTGTCCCGGCTTGAGAAGGGAGAACAGTGACTATGACCAGTGACTGGCATCCACGCGGGAAGCTGGAAGAGTATCGAAGAGTTATACCTGCCGTGTCATCTGCGCATGGACGTCTACAGCCCCTCACTGTGTAGAGACACAGCTCCGCAGATACACACATAGACATACGGGTCACGCTGCTTCCAGTCCGGGTCACCTGGCTGGACAACCCAGCCCACTACGTAGCCTAGGTCTCCTACTCCAGGCAACCCAGACAGGAAGCGCCCCAGGTACATGGATCCCATGCCTGTAGTCTTCTCCCTGGAATTCTCATGTGGATCATGTTCATGTGGATGGCATTTTCGCTGTTGGATCACCATTTGCAGACTCAGGAACTCCATCCACCGCATTTGGCGGCACCACGTTGCAGTGGGATGAAGCGACAACACAAGAAACACTAAGAATTGGTTTCTGTAGAGACAGACATGCATCCAAAAAAATATCATAAATCCCAAGCACGCTTCTGCTTTGACCAACCAAGTTTCGAAAACTTGATCCGTTTCGGTGCCTGAAGAAGCTTTTCCCACCGAGAATGGCTCACACCAATTTGGATCCTCCGATTCCCAGACTCGCTGCACAACCTTCTCCCTGTGAATCCACTTAACATGCAGTGAACCTGGGGCAGGACTCCAATCGAAAAGCACAACGAAGCCATAACAAGAATCCTGCAGGTTCCTCCACTGACTGTCTCAATCAATGAATGAATGGTTTTAAGAACAAGATCTACAGTAAAACATGGCTTTCACTCCCCTAAAACATGCAAACACTATAGTTTTGTTTTCCCGTAGATTTTACGACCTTTAAGACATCTTAAGACATCCTAAGACCAGGGACTAACGGCCTCCCACCACTCGCAGCGACCGGAGCTCGCGCTCAACCAGGTCGCACAGAGCGACTGAGCTCGCCAGCGCTTTGCGGCCGCTTGGCGAATCACCACGTACTCCACGTGGGTGGCGTGGACGTGGAGTCAGCATCAATCAGAATCGCTATTGTATACGGTGTGTAGTAACATATAGTAGCATAAAATTACTGTAGTGAAAGTGCTCAACGTGTAAGTATGGTCGGCTGCATTGCTATGAAGGATTGGGTATGTCGGGTGCAGCTCAGGCCATGAGGTTAAGCCATTCACTTACCCAAGCCATCTTCTATGCAAATGGCTTTGAGCAAGAATCCTTGACTGATTCTTCTGTTTTCCAAGGTGTTTGACATTGAGGCTTGCCGATGCTGTTTGAGTAGTTGTCAAGCTGCTGTGTATAGTATACTACGTTAAGGTATGACGTTGGAAGATTGCATCGAGACGTGCATCTGAAGGTTTTCTGCCTTTCAACAGTCGTCTTGCAAAAAGAACCCTGTGATCAGGGTGCATGACCCGATCTCGGCCTAGCCATTGTGCCAATGGGAGGACCAGAAGAAGCACCGGAACAGTTTCTCACTCCAAAGAATGGGGGGGGGCACTCTCTTGGCGCTGTAGAAGACGAGAAGACCTTCTCACGTCGATCACTGACATACTTGGCATATCTGGTTAGGAGGATGTTGGGAAAACCTTTTAAACATGAGAGTTGCACTCTTGGCACATAAATCACTTAGAAGTCTGTCCCAGTATACTTGTAACAGTCGGGTTCAACCAGAACAACATCACCCATGTTGAACAAATCGACCTGGAACCAGGCCCCATCATCCACCGGGCCCTGGAATACTGGCATGATATACACCCAAGATATCACACCCTATGCTCTGCAAAAACCACCACACCGTGCCCGAATGGCGGTGCATTGCCACAGCCACTCCGGCGGAACTGCGTGCTCTCGGTGCGCGTCGCGTCGCGTCGCGTCTTTGTCTCCGGACCCTGTGAGGGCTGGAGAGACGCAGTTGGCGCTGAATCTTTGGCTGGGTCGCCTGGATGGGTGCGGAGGTGGATGTTGAGTGCAAACACAAATGCTGTGCCGCTGTGCCAGAAGTTCGACGAACATGCCGCGATGTTGGGGTGAAGAAGCCATGTGGGTCGACGAAAGCGATTGGCATCTCAGACACAGCATCTGACCCAGTTTTGGGGTGAACTGGAGAACATCTGCAGGATAGGAACCCAAACAGGGTTAGACTGATGCAGCAGTTTGTCAGTCCCCTGATGCAGGCGTTCCTGGGCAGGTGGAGATGGTGAAGGCCGCTGCCCGGTGTCCGGTCCAGCTGGGGTGGCTCTCAGTCTTCTAAGTGGTAGTGTTTTGCCTTTGGAAGAATGCCCTCGATCTTTGCATCTGTTTTGGTTGAAGGACGAAGGCCCTTGCACCAAATGCTTCGAAGCGGTTTTTCAATGCTTTTCTTTGATACAGCTGGGCCCGGTGTCCAACGGCCGGACCCCCGGGAGTGGGCTCTGGGGACCGGGCGGGGTCCAGTTCGGTCCCTGGTCCGTGGAAGGTGGTCAGACATGGAGCACCTGCGACACGACATCGATGGGTACCAAAAAGACCTCACCCTAGAGGCGACAGAGCAGGGCGACAGAGCCCCTTTGATTCCACGAGCTGACGCAGCATCTTGGACATGTCTTCTTTGTCTAGTTGAGTGGAGAAAGAGAGGACTCAGAGTGACTCTCTTAAGGAGGATCCACCATAGTCAAACCACAAAGGAGAGACGTCACCAGAGAGTGGGGGATCCATAAGAGATCCTCCTCTCATTCTGATCTCTTTAACGCCCTATATGGATCCACCTACCGAGGTACGCTGAATGGAGACACTGAGTTATGGAGACTGCCAGGGTCCGTTGGCGTAGCGAACCTGAGGAGCTCGGTACGACTGGATCCCTTGCGTCGGTATCGGTACTTCCTTCGATGCTAGAAAAGCAAGAAGCTACGACCGGTTGGAGGCCATCGCTAGTAGGATCTGGAGGCCATCGTTACCCCAGACGCTCCATGGGACTGCCATATATGTCTACATTGGGGTGGTGCCAGGGAGGTCAATGGGGCGGCAGTCCTATTCCAGTCCCATGGAGTATATGGGTACTAGATGGTACTAGTAACAAGGGATGGTGTTTTGTTGTCCTTTCCTGTTCTTTTGGCCGCACGGAGACACGGACTGCGCATCTTATCTCTCTCGACTCTAGGGACGATCTTCGGCAGCTTCGGTCCCTGTGTGGAAAGCGGGTCTGGGTCTGTCCCAGTGAACCTGTAGGTCAGCCAGGCCTCATCGCTATTTTGGACTTAGTCGAACCTGCCAGGTCCCTGGCCCCATCATCATCCACTGGGCAATGGTGAACCTGCCCCCATCATCCACTGGGCAATGGTAGAAATGACCCCGGGCAAGGCTTGATCCGGACCTACCTTCACCCCTTTGAGGACGCACCCCCCAGTGTATGAACATATGCAAGTCCCTTGGAGCGAGTTTTGTTTGTGTATAGGGTTCACTTGAGAAAGGTAATCCCATTTGAACTGATGTGGTAGATGTGGTGAAATGTGTTCCAAAAATCAATCCCATTAGACATTGTCCAACCTGCTGCTATTCAACTGGTGTAAACTTTTTGGGGGGGGAGTTGCGCTGGCACCGTGCCTGCTCCAATCGTTTTGGGCATTTAATGTTGCGAACTTGTAAGATCCCATGGCAAGCGTGGTACCCGCATAAGTACGGTACCCTGCCGTCTACCGTTTCCGCAGCGTGGTCGTTCGGCCGCAGGGTCTAGGCCGGGACCAGGTTTGTCGTTCGTGCGCAGCCGGCCATGCAGCTTTCAACGTACAGGTGCATTCGCTCAAAAAAACCGGTGCATTCGTCACCAGATACGTTGGGATGCAGGTGACGAGGTGCGACCAAGTAGTGACATCTTCAACCAATCACCGGGTTAACGTCGCCAGGTGTCGATCTGGCGACCGAACTCCTTGCTGATGGCGATTCGCCGGGGTGCTTGGTCGGGTTCGGTACACCTGCTTGAAGCCTTCCTGGTTTGGTGTGGTGCAGATCTACTAAGAAGGCTCGCGTAGGATCAGGAGCTGAGACAAGGAGCTTGACAATATTTTTGCCCCGAATCGGAAAGGATGAACAAGGAGGATAGCCATGTGGAGCTGAAGGGGACCAGTGGACTAGGTGTGGATGTATAGAAGTGGATGTAGACCCAAGGCAGCCGTGGTAAAGCTTGGAAGTGCACTCATGAGAATGTATGTTAAGAACTATTTTTCGAGGGGGGGTTGATGAGAACGCTAAAAACTGACTAGGTGTTTGACTGCCAACCAATTTAGAAAGACCAACATCTCAGGATATTTGATCACTCGGATGTGTGTTTCTCGAGTTTTCGGACCTACTCTTCTGCTCAATTGGGATATCGACCACCTAAATACTTTAAACTTAATAGCATGAAGGCATCAATGTAATGAACAATAACCAGGTTTTCCGCGAATGCTGACTGGCAGATCTCCCAGCTTTGCAACAACCCACTGCCGCGCGCCCTGGGTCACCCGGTCGTGCGGCGCTTCGGTGTGCAAGTTGGCTTGTGAAATCTAGGTGGAAAGGATTCTACAGGTGTCGTACAGGTTGTTCTTTTTTTGGGGGGGGGTCGTGGTTTTCCCCTGCATGAAGCATGTTATATATAGAAAGAAGAGCCGGAAGGAACCAGGTTTGGCCTGTCAGTACCATGTGATTTCCGCGAACGAATGACACGAATCAGATGTGGTCTATTGGGTCAAACAGACGAGGCCGTGGAGCTTCCACGGTTTCCGGAGTTCCGTGGTGTTTTGCGGAAGGGCATCGCCGGTAGGCCGTTGCACGCCTTGAGCCGCCTGAAGAAGTTTGACCATTCGGGTGCTGAGTGCTTCGGCAGGAAAAGGACTGGGAAGTCGACTGCCAAAACATGTGGTTATTTAAATGACCACACATGCGGTTCATTCTGGGTGGTTGTGACGGTTTGCTTTTGTGTTTTGTTTTGGTGTCGTTCGTTTGTTTTGGTGTTGGTGCTGTTTGTTTGGTTTTGTTTGGTTTGGTTTCTTTGGAGTTTGGTGCAGGTGTTTGGAGAAGTTTCTCATTTCCATGACACCATGCGTTTGCCAGTAGGCAAGGCCGGCCATATTTGATGACGGAAAGCGCTGGGTTCGCAGGGAGGTGTTGAGCGAAGCAGTGACCGGGTGGGTGGGTGAGGAGGCCATCAGCATGTGGAAGGCCGTCTTTTTGATTTGCAGAAGGTATGGGGGTTGTTTTGCGGGTCCCCGATTGTGTGTTGCAAGAGACCTTCGGCAGAAGGGCTTCTTGCCGCACATTGACATAGCCACATAGCGGTAAGATGTAGCGAAATTGGGCTGCAGGTGGCAATTCACGTATCAGCGCCAAAAGGCCAGGTTCCTGGCCGCAGGCCACAAGGCCGTCAAAGGCAACGTCACATGCCACCGATGGCCGAGATCGTCCCAAAGGCAGCGCCGGAGTTTCATTTTTGCCAAGGGAAGTGAAGCTGAGAGAATCAAGTGTTCCAGTCGTTCCAGATGATTTTGCCCAGGCTGAAAGTCAGTCAAGCTGCAAGCATTTGCAATCAGCTTTGTTTGTTCCCATCCATCCGTTCAACTTTCGATTGCTTGTCAAGCTACTTGCAGCATAGAAATTGACAGACCACCCGAAGCACGACAGAATGATGTTTCCATACTCCATATTCCTTCAGGAAATCATCAAGGCTCTCCGTGCAGCCTCCGAAAACTGCGAGGTAGGTGACAAGCAAGGCACAGCATATATGCGCCATCACCCATGGTCACCGCCTTGATTTGTCATCCAAAGATCCCAAGATCCTTTGGGGTGACATGTGGTCGTAATTCGTAATTGTTCATAAGCCGGATATTTGCGTTGCTGAATCAAACGCTGTTCTTTCTAAATATACATGTTGTTATGATATTTGCATGGAACAATCTCCTTACTTGAACCATCCTCGTATTTGATGTGTAGTTCTTTTGTTTTCATCGCCCTTCATGGATCAATCACCCCATGCTGCTCCGGGGCAGCGGACGGTCCGCGTCGCGTCGCGCTCGGCTGCTCCGAGGCTTTTCACCCTGCTCCTTCGCGCGTCGGGCCCTGCATCGCTGCGCGCCTCGGTGGAAGCGGAAGAAGCGGTTCCGCGGAGCTCCCGCCAGGGTGAGCCTGGAGGAACAGTCTTGGCTGTTTGTGGACCGGTGGAAGGAGGTCATTCCAGGGGTCACAGTTTGAAACGTTTGTTTGAGTCGTTAAGTGAGTGGATGCGACAGGGGCACCACCTATCCTCCAACAAGCATCCCTTGGGAACTGTTGGTTGTGATTCTCATCCTGGAGGCACAGTACTTGGAGGTTGGCACCGTGTTCATCATTAGTACTTGGTGTGGCGCAGTACTTGGAGGTTTGTTAAATCTAAAGAGTCACGTAATTAATGTTGTGAAGACACCCTGAAATGGTCACATTGAAAGAAGCAAATGATGGTGAATAGTGAATGTGTTTGTTTGCTCGTTAAATTCTCATGATATGTCATGATTGCCATTTACTATCATTTACCAACCAAGGTCACACTATTTGTGGCGCTTCACCAAATCCAAAGAATACCTAGGCCGCAAATCATGTCCTGGTGAGAACTCATCATATGGTGTTTGGTTGCTGGATCAAATCACTATGATTCCCCAAATGTTCCAAACAACCCTCCTTTTGGGACAAATAAAGCCAGTGCCTCCTTGCTTTTTTAGTGCTCTTCGAAGGCTAGGGTGGAGACAGACAATAGAACTTGTCAATTTGTTAGAACATTTTGGAGGGTGGTATTGGGACGCTATTAGGTTTGTGGATGGAGTGTTTGTTCCGAGGTTTTCTCCCCCATTTTCCCAAGGGCCACAGTCTTCTTTGGGTACCTCCTGTAAACTGGAGTTGGCCGAAGATGCAAGCTGTCCGAGAAAAAGGAAAGACAATGCGAATGAGATAGAATGAGAAACCATAAGAAACCCAGAGTGATCAGCTGCAGTGGGCAGCCACGCGCCATTTGACGCCTGGTCTCACTTTGTTGGACTGGGAGCTCCCCCCAAGACAAACTGTAAATTACAATTTGAGCTGGGCGGGTAGAATTCGTATACCATTGTTGTTTACCTGCATGGGAACCCATTTGGCCCCTGTCTCGATAGGAAAAGACCATGAAGAGACCCAATTTTGGGTGGTTGGTGGTCCAAAATAGATGCCATTCAGGTTCTAGTAAATTTATGATGATATGCAGATGGCTTTCAAGTGAAGCGCCTTTGTGCCCGCGGGGAATTGGCTGGATATGGCTAGATTGTGTTCTTCATGGCGGACAGAAGAGAGCGACCGAACAATGGTAGGTGAACGACATCTGATAAGTCTTTGTAAAATGTTCAAAGAGTCAGCCTCAATTCCTTGGATGTATTTACTTACTAACTATCAAGGCTGATATCATGGGTCCTTTGCTTCGAGAATCAATCGGGACACTCAAACACTGACCTGCCATGATGAATGTGTCCAGCCACTAAACATGCGAAAGATGGATGCAAGCCATGGTTGTTTGCAAATCTACTCTTCTGTATATTATATAAACGACGTGTCTACCAAATGACATGACTGTTGTCAAAATATTGGAAGGAGAGTAGCCTATTTCCTTTGTGGTGCGGCGATTCACTCCCTTCGTTTGACTCAATTCTTTCCGTGACTGATATCATGGCTGTTCACGCACACGAGGGACTTGCTTCTTTATTGCCCAATGACTGTGTCTACTATTTCAGATTGTTCTTCAATTGTGAACCCGCTCAGCTACTCACCTCTACCTGAACCTTTCATTGTTTACTAATGGTTTTGAAGATCCTCCGATCTGGAGTTGCCACAAACACAACTTGTTAGATGTTCATAGATTTTGGCTGCATAACAGCCTGCTGATGTTCAACAGCTTCGAAACAAGAGATTCATCAAATTACACCTTGGGGAGATTAACATGGAGTCCCGAAACCCTTGGGTTGCAGAGGAACATGATCCACCACCATTCTATTCTCTGGTTCCATGTGGTCCGTTTGCGGGTACTGTCCCTGATTCAAGGGAGGTATGAAGGCTTCCAGACCAAAATGAAGGCTTCAGAACATGTCCTTGACATTGATCTTTGCTGACCTTTGTGCCCTAAAAACCCAACACCAAAATGATCCAAACATCATTGGATCTAAGGATTCTGTATACGCCATTGGTGCCAGCCGACCTTCGTTTCGCCCACGTTTCGACGCACCGGTGCCTGACGGTCACCGTGGCACCAGGCCAGCGAAACAGCTCAGGTGGCACCGTGGGACGACTCGGGTCAACGGACGACCGCGCGAGAAGCTGCCCCCCGTACGAACTGCCGGTGTTGGGGGTCCTCTGTTCATAGAGTAGGGAGGCAGCTTCTATGAACAGTGAGCAGAGGGGCAGCTTCTCACATTTTCAAGCCTCTAAGAACAGTATGTGTTTGTCTTTTTCACCTGTCACCTCTCCGTTGAGGCTTGGGACTGTGTTATAATCGGATGCCCCTGCTGCTAACAAGTATCTATAAGCCAAAAGGACAGCATGGCAAAAGGGTTTGAAGCTTCAGGTTTTTCTGTGAAGATTGCTGCATGAGCAGGTTACACATGATTAATATATTTTATATACCCTGAGTACATTCATAGCTTGGCTTCACCTGGAAGAGGAACATGTTCCAGATCATGCTAGGAAGTGTGGTTCATTTTGGGGCTACTAGTAGTTCTGACCCAGCCAGCTACATAAATAGTATAGCAATGTCTCAAAATGATCCCTCCGGCAGATGTGGGTCTTAAGAGAAAGCATGTGTGCCGGGCCCGTGTTTTTTTGACCCTTTAGGACACCCCAAAAAATAACACAGGGGTTGCATAGTTGGGGTTTGCATGCCTTTCGGAGGAGGGCTGTGATAAAAGTATGCCTATATACCATCCTCAGTCGACTTGAAGGTCTATTTTATGTAACTCAATGTATTGAACGTAGGCTCCTCGTTACTTTCCTTCGAGCGACCCCACCATGACATTTCAATCATTTGTTTTCATGCCATGGTGGGGAGTTCTCGATTTTGCTTGTGGGTCCTCGGGTTTGGGGTTGTTGTTTTAGTGTTGGGGAGTTCGCGTCAGGGTGTCGCCAGGGTGTACAGCTGACATGCTATCCAAAATGTGACCCTGTGACCACCATGCCTATATACAATGGTGCACAACATGTACTTGCATTGCTTTTGCTTGAGCTGGTGTGATAGACACTAAGATTTGCTTATTTGTACTAGTATATTTCGTTTGCTTGCATGATTAAGGTGATTGTGATTATCAGCACTTCAGTGTTTCGAAGTTCTGGTGCTTGACACCCTTGAGAATACATGCATTGAAGCATTACGAAACCAGTAAAGCACTCAGTCTGAAAGCTACTCAAAGGCTTGCAATATTTTGCAATCAAAAGCCACTGAGAGGCTTGAAGTACAAAAGCAATTGAAACGCTTGCAGTACAACAACCATTAAAAGGCTTACAAATCTGAAGCTAATGAAGTGCTTACAATTCAAAAGCCATTGAAAGGTTTGCAATACAAAGCCACACAAATATATGGAGTTCATGAAAACAATGGAAGGCTTGCAATAGATAGTAACAAAAAGACACGAAATTACAATTCAAACAAACAGTCTAACATACATTCAGCTGACTCATGCTAACTCAGATAACCTTTCTAAGTACTTAGCAGGCGCAGGGTTCATGTGTCACATTGTCGACCTCAGCCGAAGCCACATGGCTGGCTTTCGTGCTAACCGAGGCGACTTTGATTTGAAGGACGCGAAACTGCTGCGATCAACCGAGCATGTATCAGTGTTGTTGATGAATATGGGCAACATCAACCGCCGCCCACTGCAAGTTTCTCCTTGAAGCAGGAGGCCTGGAGAGGCACGATTTTCCCTCCCAGTATAATAAGATGTGCCTTGTTGCCATGCCTGACGGGAACGCGCACCCAATCGCATGTGTATGCTCATCGGACGACATTACGTGCAGGATCGAGCTTTTGCGCTGCATCCAACTTGATTCAGAACACCTCAATTGGCTTGTGCACGCGGCAACTGTTTTGAATCATTTTGGGTGAAGTCGCTGGGGATACACATGGGGGCGTCACGACCAGTAAAGGTGTCCGCACCAGCCTTTCTCGCGCGCTTGAGACTGGCGAAGATCCTGCCAAGCAAATGGAAGTCATCGTTTGTCCAGACACAATGGGCACTGCCCAAGGCGCAATCAGATCTCTGCATTAAATATGAACAATAAAAGTTTTTGATTCTTATAAATTGATTGATTGAGTTTTTAGAATTTAAAACCATGAGTAAATAGGGAAAATTTACTGAATATTCTATCAGTATGATTACTGCTCTTTTTTTCTGAAATCATGTACTAAAAACCTAATTATGAACGTTTTAATGGAAAATTGATTATAATGCCTAGATTCAGAATCTGAATTTAGGCACTGAGGCTTGTGTGCCTAAATTCAGATTCTGAATCTACGCACTGTGATTCTAAATCTAGGTATTGTTTGTGATTTTGATTAAAACAAATGTTTACTTTTAAATATACTAATTCATTAGATATGAACAATAAAAGTTATTGATTTTAAAAGAACTGATTTGGTTCCAGTCATTAGGTTTTACTTCTTCAATTTCCTTCACCAAAAAGTTTTGTCCACTGTTTTATTCATCCGGTTGGTTTACTTCAGCTCCCGGACCGGAAATTTTGTCCACAGTTTTAAAGTCCTTTGGTTTTGCCTCCTTAGTTTCCTTCACCAAAAATGTGGTCCACTGCTTTAATCATCAGATTTTGTTTCCTTCAATTCCCTCACCAACAATTTTGTCCACAGTTTTAGTCATTAGGTGTTACTTTCCTTTTTTCCTTCACAAAAAAAACTGTCCACAGATCTAGCCATCATTGTTTTCTTCAACTCCCTCACCCAAAAAATGTTCACAGTTTTAGTCCTATGGCTTTGCTTCCGTATTTTTTTCACCAAAACTTCGGTCCACAGCTCTAGCCATCAGATTTTGTTTCCTTTAAGCAAAAGTATCACCACAGTTTTATTCATTAGGTGTTGTTTCTTTACTTTCCTTCCAAAAGGTTTGGTCCATAGTTTTAATCACTACGTTTTGCTTCCTTACTTTCCTTCGCCAAAAATTTATGTCGACAGTTTTTGTCATTAGGTTTTTGTTCCTTCGTTTCCTTCACCAAAAGCTTTTTGTCCACTGTTTTAGTCATTATGGTTTGCTTCCTTCAACTCTTTCCTCCAAAAAGACTGTCCACTGTTGTAGTCATTAGGTTTTGCTTCCTTACTTTCCTTCACCAACAACTTTTGTCGACAGTTTTAGTCATTAGGCTTTGCGTCCTTACTTTCCTTCTCCAAAAGTTTTTGTCCACAGTTTGAGTCATTAGGTTTTACGTTTAGTTTCCTTCACCAAAAGTTTTTGTCCACAGTTTTAGTCATTAGGTTTTGCTTCCTTACTCTCCTTCGCCAGCAACCTTTGTCGACTGTTTTAGTCATAGGTTTTGCTTCCTTACATTCCTTCCAAAATTTTGTTTGCAGTTTTAGTCGTTAGGTTTTACTTCCTTAATTTCCTTCCAAAAAGTTTTGTCGACAGTTTTAGTCATTAGGTTTTGTTTCCTGACTTTCCTTCACCAGAAAATTGTTGGTCCACAGCTTTAGTCATTAGGTTTTGCTTCCTTACTTTCCTTCACCAAAATTGTTTTGTCCACAGTTTTAGTTCTTAGGTTTTACGTCCTTAATTTCCTTCACCAAACAATTTTGGTCCACAGCTTTAGTCATCAAATGTTGTTCCTTCAGTTTTTCACCAATATATTGTCCACAGTTTTTTTAGTCATTAGAGTTTGTTTCCTCAATTCCCACCTTCGAAAAAACAACCAATGCTTGCAAAAAAGGCAATGCTTCAAACGCCCATTAAAGCTTGCTTGCCAAAAACAAATGAACAGCAAAGAATTTCAATTAGCAGCACTGGCCTTTAACAAAAATATCACTATGATAGCTGTTGATTGCTTTCAGCTTGTTGGTTTTGGAAAATTGAATCATTATTGTAAAAACGTTTTGCTGAAGCTTGCGGCATATCATTTCTCTGGTGTGATTTTTGCATTCGTACAGACCCTTTTTTAGTTCAAAAAACAACACCAATATAAGAAAAATATAGTGTGGGTAGAAATATCTTTATATATATTGGGTGCTTGACTAACTTAGTTCACTTTTGAGCTAACCACCTGCTAAAAGTTAGCAGAGTTAACCAGGTTAGCCTAATTTTTTCTTTTAGCTAACCTTCTTAAAAGCCCTAACAATTTAATATGTGCTTACATACTTCAAACATACATCTAACATATGTCTAACAGTCTAACATACATTTAGCTTTCTAAGTACTTAGCAGGCACAAGGTTCATGTGCCACATTGTCGACCTCAGCCGAAGCCACATGGCTGGCCTTCGTGCTAACCGAGGCGACTTTGATTTGGAGGACGCGAAACTGCTGCGATCAACCTAGCATGTACCAGTGTTGTTGATGAATATGGGTAACATCAACCACCCTCCACATTTCAATCAAAAGCATCAATTGCCTCGAAATTTCTAGGATGGCGACCCATATTGTGGCCTACCACATTCTATGGTTCGCAATACTGCCCACTGCACGATTCTCTTGAAGCAGGAGGCCTGGAGAGGCACGAACTTTCCTCCCAGTATAATAAGATGTGCCTTGTTGCCATGCCTGACGGGCACGCGCGCCTGATCGCATGTGTATGCTCGCCGGACGACATTACGTGCAGGATCGAGCTTTTGCGCTGCATCCAACTTGATTCAGAACACCTCAATTGGCTTGCGCACGCGGCAACTTTTAGAATCATTTGGGGTGAAGTCGCTGAGGATACACATGGGGGCGCAGCAAAGGTGTCCGCGCCAGCCTTTCTCGCGCACTTGAGACTGGTGAAGATCCTGCCGAGCAAATGGAAGTCATCGTTTGTCCAGACACAATGCGCACTGCCCAAGGCGCAACCAGATTTGTGCAGACCGCTCCTATCGATGCCAAATGCCTGTACCATGAAAGTCTGACATTCCGGACTGGTAGGTTGTCAGATTGCAACCGATGCCATCTCCCAGAGCCAAGGATTTGCACATTCCAGTTGAATTCCTCTTCCTTTGAAGACTGCATCACAGCAGGGAAAAGCGCACTCACCAAGGTCCTGGTGGCGGCAGTTGCGGACCAAGTGGACATCATAGTATGCGACGCGAACCTCTTCACTAACAGGCAATTAAAGTCGGATCGACATTCCGATCCAGACACAGGCTCCGTCCTTAACATTTTAGATCAGATCAAAGTTTCCGCTAATAAGCTGCGTGAACCTCACCACCGTATCACTTACAATTTCGAGGTCTCCACGCTTGCCACAGAGCAGCTTGCAGCTTTAGCCGGACAAGACGCACTGTGGCATGTGTGGATTCAATATAATACGGTGCTCCCTGGTTTGTAGACGAGAGTTTTGCATTTTCTAGAAGATTGGATTCTGAGAGATTACAGCCTCATATAGTTTCAATCATTTTCAATATATATTCAGATGGAGCTTGAGGTTGGTTTGATCAAGAACCCACATGACTCCATCAGAACATTTTTTGGCCCAAGAAACATTTGGTGTCATTGTGATATATTGAACATTTCCCGCTAATGTCTTCTTCAGGAGTGGCTTTGGGCAAATCCTTCGACCAGTGCTGGATGATGATGCAACTGTGGCCCACCAGTCCGATGCCGTGGACAGCCCGAGCTATGCCGATGCCGTGGAAGCCCCAACATCATCCGGGCAAAGCAGTTAGAACTGGCAATAATTTGAATCGGGTGGCATTTGCAAGGTTGCACGCTTGCGTTTTTTCAGCCTTGCGTGGTCACTTGTCAGCTTTCCATGTTGCAGCTTTTGTCCAGCTACGGTGCCCTTGAAGAGGGAATCAAAAGTAAGGACATGACAGAATAATAGGCAACAAAGAATTGGCGCCAGTTTGAGCAGCCAATTCATGACCGTGTGGGCTTTGCCACAGGACTCGCAAAAGGAGTGTGGGCGCTGCAAGATCCAAGGTTCGAGTCCGAAGTGATACTTCTACGCAATACCGACAACAGAAGGACAAAGAACGTTCCCAGTGGCGAAGGCAAGACTGGTGGCAGCCCTCGATCTGCCTCCTCCTCATGCATGGCGTGAGCCTATAACCGGGATACTGGCTATTGTGGGTCGCACCAGTATAGATGGTTGCAAGCTCCTTGGTGAGCATGATGTCCAAGTTGTTGACATTCCGGCAGTTCCTGGATTCAAGAAGACTCCGACATTCCGGAGATCTCTCAGCATAACGAGTTGCATTTGATTAGACCTGAATACATTCAGAAGACTCCGCTTTTAATTTTCAGAATTAGACTGTCTGACGTCATATCTTAAGTTCAGAGCCAGAATGGCATCTACGGTCCGGTTCAGCGAAGCAAGAACTTTTGTAATTCACTTGCATCCCTTTTGTACTTTTGCAGCCGTAAGCTCCGACCCCTAGACGTGCCCACGCTATACTTGTGTAGCACCTGTTGTTCGTAGATATCCTGTATATACTCTTCAGTCAGCTTGACAGCATAATTCACATTGGCTCAAGACCACTAGAGCCCGCACTTGCACCGCTCGCCATAGAAAAGTGTGCTCTCTGCCGTTCGCACACTTTGAGACTCCGCTATTGAGTCTATTGGGTCTTACTTGGTGTTATCGATCAGGTCCAGTGTACTTCACTGCCACTTTGGGGATCTTACCCCTCACCCCCCTTGGAATTGATTTTTCAATACAGACCACCCCCCCTCCCCCCTGACCGCTTCATCCTGAAGTGGATCACCTCGACACCTCGATGGTTATTTGGTATTGAGCGCACTAAGCTTGGGGCAGTGTTTGAATCCATGAGGAGACATGACATGTTGTTTTTAGTGCATCTTGTCGTTGAGGATTATCATGTAACTATATATATATATGTATGTATCGAACTTTGGTCTTTTCCCACATTCTCAAGTTGACGTTTGATTCGACTCCACCAAGAACACACTGCAGTTTTTACATGTTTATTTTCCTCCCGCTGTCCTACCTTTCGTGTATCCCTCTTCTCAAATATATTTTACATATTGTTCATTCGCATATATTTGCACACCATTAGCTCATAAAATTAACATCTATATGCTATAGAGAATGGAACAAGTATATGATGTGTATTAATTTATGTTGGCCGTTGTCGGTCTTTCGTTTATGACCTTAGGACCTTTCCCTCGCTTACAGCCGCCGCGTCTGACTGGGCCCCTTCTTGGGGAAACATTTTAACCTCATGGTTATCAGTCTCTTTTCTTTAGTCTGATGACACCTCAAAGGCAAGGTCATCAGGTTAAAACATTTTAACCTGATGACACCTCAGATGTCATTAGGCTCAAGTGTTTTAACCGGATGACGCCTCAGATGTCATTTGAGAGCATTGACGCACTCTTGGTCTTTCCTTGCCTAAACAAAAATGATGGCAGCCGGGCCAACCTTCTGCCAGGCCAGACCTTTCTGCACGCTGCGGCCGGCCGGCTGAATGGGCGGATCTTAGCCGCCCGGCGCGGTCGAAGGTGGTTTGACCGCTGTGCTGTGAGAACGCGGTGCGAGGGTTCGAGGCGCAGGCGCAGCTGGGGGCCAATTGGAGAGAGCAACTGGTTGGAAGAAACAGTTGGAAAGAAATGGAGACAAGTTGGGAGAACGCCAAAACTTTTGGTTCAAGAAACACGTGCCTGCGGAAACCAGCAAAACGACAAGGCCCATGACTTGTGTCCAGATGTGCCCAGAATCCTGGAAAGCGGTGGTTTGATGTTTGCACCCATCTTTTGGGGTTGAACGACTCCAAAGACTAAAACCATAGACCCAACGAAACCTTGGTTCCTTGATACAGTGGTAACTCGGATCCACTGGGATAGTTTTTGCAGTAGTTTTGGCTGGATCTTGCCGAAGTTCAAGTTGTTCGTGTGGATGATGTTTGGAAGTTCCAACAGGTTCGTTCGATTAAATGTTGCACCACCATCCTGAGGCCGAATGTTTTATCAATACTAATACCGTTCCTTTTCCTGCCTGGTGGGCACCCCTGTCGAATTTGTTCTCCAACATGAGTGGTTGAAACCAGGGGAAGTGGTGGATCGTCTTTAAGTACGACATACATGTTACGTGTATGTATTGATTGATGCATGGTTTGGGTCTGTCCTATTCCCTGCAACAGTCGGTAAACAAGAACATCATTAAGTTATTTTAGAGAAACGCCGGCAACCAGGCCCCATCAGCCACTTGGCCCTGGAAAAAATGGATAGACCCAATTACATTGGCCATCATTGAACATATTGATGACCATTTGTGATGGGGACCTCCCTGTGGGACCCGCCTTAGGCTCAGGCTTTGACCGAAGCGCCTGAGCTGGCACCACTCTTCGTGCCGCCCCTGGTGGTGGTGACAGTGTGGTGCGACAGAGAAGCGAAACTGCATATTGCTGATCCAGGTTTATATAAAAAGAATAAAAAAACAAACAATCACTGTAAAGTCGGGAGCCAGACTACAGTGCCTGAAGCTACACTCTCTGAAATCATCCTGGTTTTCGTGGAGTAAAAACCACCAGTTTGTATAGAGGAAAATAGTCATCCAAGGGTGGCCATTGTCCAAATTCCATGACTATTCCGGGCCGCACCCGAGTCCGCCTAGGAGGGTCAACAAGAGATCAAACAACCGGGGCTTTGACCAGATGAGCGAGCCCTCCGAAAGCATTCCCAGCGAAGCAAAGGTTACGTTTTGTTGAAGAAAGAGGAGGCTGATTTAAAGGATTGGTCACCCTATGGATCGGCTTACCTTTTGAGAGGGTGATTGGATCCCTAGATTTCAATAGAATTGTGTGTTTGTCTTCTGTTTAGTATGATATCAGTTTCGTCATTTTATGTGCCTACCATCCTCCTCCCCCCAAAAAAATGATTTGCATTTGTTCATCATGATCGGCGCTCTCAGCTGCTTTGGCTCACCAGTGTTGGTTCGAAGGGTGAAGCCGTATCAATCTGAAAATACATGAAGCATGCTGAGTCAAAGGCCTTCCGAATCCCAGGTTTCGTAGGAAGTGGATCACCTGCACCGAACTTATGGGAGACACCGGGCACACCGTGTCCCCACGAAATAGATGTTGCACAGATGGAGTTCGTTCATTGAAAACCTGTTTCACCCCACCAAGCGAACGGGTGCTGAGTGAGTTTCTGGGGTGATGAGCGAATCGGGGATCTGAAGTGAAACGTCATATTCCTCACGAGTTTTTAAGGGCGCAAGGTGGATGATGCGCAGTATGATGCTGCCGGTCAAAAGCCGCCGGCTTTTCGAAGTAACTAGAGACTACTGTAGGACGAAGGGTGTTCATCAGTGTTTGCAGATTTAGTCTCTATTATATTATTCATTTGGGTTTGCCGTTTGGAACCAAGCTCGACTCACCCCATGTTTTGAGCCCATCCATATCTACCAGTCTTGGCTGCAAGACTTATGGCACCGCCTGCACTACCCCACAGCAGAGTCGCCCAGCGTCGGTGATGCATGAGCGTGGTGCGGTTAGATGAAGACGACTTGGACGAGGAGGATTTGGCCATCTTGCGGGAAGTCGCCTCCAAAGGCGCATTGGAGACCGGAGACACAAACAAACCGAGTATAGCTTCTAGCGTCTGGACGTAGCTTCTTATTCCATCCGTAGCGATGGCCTCCAACCTAAGAGCCATGGCCATAGCTTCTAGTTAATTACCAGAATGCCACTTGGGTAACTAGATGGGTAACTAGGCCACCTATTAGTGACCACCTCTTACTAGTGATGGCCACTAATAGCGCAAGCTTTTATGGCTGCCCAGAAGCTTCAAAGCGAAGTGGCCGAAACCAGCGCCTTAAGCTTCAGCGCCGACAAACCAGCGCCGAATGAACCGCCCTTTTTCAAACCTGAACCGGACCAAGGTGTTGGGGTGCGAACACGTTTCACGCCACCCGGTTCGGAGGATGGTCGCCACCGGTGTTCGATGCCCGGTCAGCTCGTGCCGCACCAAACGTCCGTCGCCACCGTGGCCCCGAGGGTCGCCCGAGGGTCGCCAGCGAGCGAGAAGCGGCCGAAGAAAGACGAGAACCGACCGCGGCCAAGAAAAAAGGGTCGAAACATGCGTGCAAAACCTGCGGAGGTGGAAATAGGTAGAAGCCTAAGAAAACTCATGAGTCAAGACCTCACAAACGACTACTGGAAACCCACGTCGCGAACTCCACGGTCCAGCGTCGCTACAGCCCTTGTTCAACCTCAATTCCATTCGGGACGCATGAATGGCGATCTCAGATCCTATCGAGGGTTTAGGGTGCCCGGGCGGAAGGTGTCGACGCAGTAGCTTCTAGCTACTAGCTTCTTGTTCCTAGCAGTAATGCCAGGAGCTCCGTTCGTAGCGTCCGATCGCTCCGTTCGTGTCGCGATGCCTTGCTCCTTTCCGGTCGTGACGCCTCCTCTTGCAGGTTACTACCACAACCGGCCGAAGAATTCCACCAACGCTCCAGCACCGCAGCGGTTGACCGAAGACAAGGCTCCGGTGGATCCGGCGGCCGCAGCCGTGCCTGGCCTTTCCGCGGCCGGAACGGCCGGACGGAGGAGTTGTTTTGATGCGTTTCAGGCGGACGGGAGTGGGATGGGGTTGAGTGTCAAACCCTAGGGATCCACATACCTTCTCAGAAGGTAATTGGACCCTCCTGGCGCCTACATAAATAGTCTCCGTCCTCACCGTACCTCAGAAGGTATGTGGATCCATAGGGAAAGATGAGTTTCCTATGCCTTGACCACTGCTTGACCGGAGGCCTTGTTGGTTAGCCAGGCCACTCTGTTCCTTCGTTGGCACGACAAAAGAATTGGTGAGTTTGCTGTCCGGCTCCTGCATTTTGCACGTGGATTCCGTTGAATCCTGATGAGACCGTTGGGCTGCGGACATGGTTTTCCGTGACTCCTTTAAGCAGAATCCCGGATCTCCCATTTGATACCCAGACCATCCATGCATAGCCCAGTCACCTACATTGGGGTGGTTTTCAAGGGTCAATATAAGTAAGCACATCTTCCATACATGGAGTGTTTGGGGATCCGAGTCAACTCGGTTTTGCCTCATTGGTACAATCCCAAACAGCCGAACATCGAGTTCAGTTTCTGAGGTCTGCCAGGCATGGGACCTGTTGCTTCATCTCACCAGGCAAAAGGTGGATGCAGTCTTGCATTCCGGATCCATACTCATCATACACCTTCAAACTTGCTGTAAAGGCGAGTTGATCATCCTCCAAGGGGGATGCAGTCAAGCATAATCCTCTCATTCCTTCCTCACCAGCACTCATCCCACGATGGCTCGGACGACGCTCCCAGTCCGCTCCAGTCCGAAGGGTGAACTGGAATCCTGCGCTGCGAAGAGAAGGAACAGCAAGGTTAGATCCCCATCATGATTGGCACCGTGGAATAAAGGTTTCAAACCCAAATTCGTAGCTGTTTGTAGCTAGCAAAGCAGCTGTTTGGAGCCTAACGCTATACTGACTATCCTGGTTTTGCCCAAGGTGATGTTTCTTTTCCCATCTTTTCCCTACCTGTGGAATCGTTTACCTACATTTTTTTAGGTAGAGATTTTAATACCTGGTTATTCAAAGATCTGAGAACAATACCAGGTAAACCCAAAAATACCTGGTAAACCGATTTGGTCAGTACTTGAGTGGCAGAACACCAAGGTACCGCTCAGATTGCTCAAAGAAGCACGTACGGTAGCGGTGAACAAGAGTCCAATCAAAAGACCATGTCATGCGTGAGAATGGATATCAGTCGTGATACTAATCATATGTGCTGTATCACCACCGGGAGTTCAAACAGAACTGTCTTGTGCAACCAAGCTAGCTGTCCCGCCGGTATCGGGATCATGCTGCAAGCACTGGTGATGGACCTGCTCTGCCGGGCACTCATTTTTTTTTGCTTGCAGTCAGTTGCAGCAGTCCACCATCCACGTAGATTCATCCATCCTGCGCTCATGAGCATTTTTTTAAATGCAGCCACTTTTCGTGCTCCACATTGTTTGGGGTTGGGATATTGCAGCAATGGCTGGAATAACCCCCATGGACTGCTCCGGATTGGCATCGGAGTGGGAGGCTGATTCTATCGTCCGCCGTAAAGTCTTGGAGGTTGATTTCCTTCAAAGGGGCATTGGTGAGAAATGGTGTAAGCCTACCCGGGAGAACGCCAAAAACAACATCGCTGTGTTGGCACCTGCGTTGGTCAGGCTTCGAGAAACACCTAACATGCACCTTCCGCATATCTCAGATCTGCAGAAAGAGGTTTCTCAGCTCCACGTATCGTTGGGGAAACAGACTACGGAAAAGTCCATCTACCAGCATAGCGTGGAGATCAAACAACTCTTGGGCTTCATCAAGCGGCGCACAACACAAAGTGAGGTTACCAAGGACCTGGGCCAACGGGAGTCATATAGTAGAAATTTAAAGGCACACCAGGAAGGAATTAGTATATACTTTAAACAACTTTACGAAGTCCCCTAAAGTCCGCCCTGTGCAGGATACGGCATTCCACGAACTTCTCATCATGCTCGATCCCAGTTTGAAGGACCCGTGGGTTGATGCAAACTATCAATTGTTGCCACTATCTGATCCGCGTGTTTTTACCACCAACACGACTGGTGCAATTGATTTTTCGATCATGAAGAAAGAACCGTGACTGAACGGGATCCTCGTCAAATCGCGTTTAGGAATACGTCAAGGAGTACATGGCGACCCGAGCTCCACCCAGATCACAAGGTTCTTCAGGCTCCTTGATCGACGCTGACGATGCCGATGCCTTCATGGAGAATGAACCCGCTGAAGCAAAAGATCAGTTCAGGGAGTGGCTCAATTCCTTGGATGGTGCGGATACCTCTGAACCTCCAGCTAGACCTGCACTGGTGGCTGAGAACAGGTCATCTGACCAGGCCGCAAAGACCAGCCCGCCAGAACCTTTGAGATCTTCAGGGGCAACATCAGAACCATGCTCTGGAGAGAACCCCAAACTATGCCCTGTTTGCAAAAGGTCAAGCTCATGCAGCTTGAATGGATCATAACAGTTTTTTGGTGCACCTGACTTAATATAACCCACCTAGATCCAGTTGGTCGGGAGTCCTTGCCCACTATGGACTGATGGCCTGTTGAGGTCAGTGCGCGGCCATCCAAGCTCTGAAAGAACGCATTGCCGCCAAGAAGGCTGAGGTCATGCCCCTCGTCCCAACTAGTACCGATCGTCTTGTGGTTTCAATGGAATCTGGTTTTCATTCATCCTCTTAGACTTTTAGATGGTAAAAAACAGTCCACAATAGTCCACATGTCCACACCTGTCTCAAACCACGTTTTCTCCGAGTCCGGTCACCTGCAGTGGCACAGGT